GCATAGCGTATCCGGGCGGGAATCGTGGAAAAAAAACTCGGGACGTTGACAATTGGGGCTTTGTGTCTGGGACGTGATTCGCGTGGTGGGCCAGAAGCGGTAGCGCGACACGCGAACCCAAAGTTCCCGACTGTATGCAGAGGCTTCGACATTTGACTCGTGGTTTGTGTATTGTTGCATGTTAAGTATGCGTACGTTTTTTTGTGTTCTGCGGTGTGTGTGTGTGAGTGAGTGAGTGAGTGAGTGAGCTTGTGAGTGAATGAGTGTGCGTGTGTGTTCTGAGGGGGTGACGCCTTCACACACCAACAAATTACACTAGAGCCTCCTCTTGCCTCTTGCCTGTTGCCTGGATGCGGCGGAAGAGTTCAATGCGGCGAGGGCCTCGGAGGAAGACAAAGAGAAAGTCTGGGGCCAGCTCCATCAAGTGCGACTTCTGTCGCCACCAACGAGGGTTCCAGCACCCCGCCAGCGACCCGACAGGAGCTGACCTCGGCGCTCCCGCTTACCCAGGCCAAGCCTGGAGATGGGGGGTGAGCTTTTCCGCAGAAAGGCGGGCTGAGATTCGCTTGCCGTGGGCGGCGGAGAGGCCTTGGATGCACTGCCGTCCGAGCTTCTGGAGCTCCCCCGCTGAGGGGACCCCCGTTCCACCACAGACCTGGCGCCAGAACGCCCCGCGGAAAGAGTCGACACGGTGAGACCCAGGGATTTCGGACGGGACCCCACGACAGTCCGGCTGGAGAAGGCCAGACGGTCCCCTCCATCCTTGAAAAACCAGGCCTGGCACCACCACTTTCAGTCCATTCTGGACCTTCTCGACCTGGTGCTCAGTCTGCCGCAAACATTAGTCAATTAAATCTTGCTTGGCCGCCTTCTGCTTCGAGGCCTTATCGTTAGCCTCCTCCTGACGGTTGCCTCTGGGAGAGTCCCCATTCAGAGCCTCGGCCTGCTTAGCCAGTGCAAAAGAAACAACCAACAAATAATCTAGGACCTTAGAGGTCCTGCTGTCAATCTCGGCAACCTGCTGTCACTCTTCAAATGGGATCTGGGCCACCTTGGCCCCCTCCTCAGCTCCCTTGTCAGCAACTCTGTTGACCTGCCAATGTGCTACGACATGCCCTCGGGCCAGGACATCGTCTGGCTCAAGAGGTTACCACTTATGGTGGACTCGAAGCGGTCTGTTCCTCCTCCTTCCCCTCCTCCTCCTCCTCCTCCCCCTCCTCCTCCTCCTCCTCCTCCTCCTCCTCCTCCACCTCTCTCTCCTCCGTCCTCCTCTTGCTTCTCGTGCGCCCCCTCGCCACCCCCTCTCTCCCACCCCTGCTCCTCCTGGCATGGCGGCGCGCGACCTCCTTCGGCGACGGCGGCTGCTGCGGCTTCGCCTCCTGCGGCTGCGTCTTCTGCCGCTTCGGCTGCGCGCAAGAAGGAGCTCCAGGTGTGGACTTCCGGCGGACGCGGCTCTTCGCAGGGCTCGCCCCCGTCGCGGCGTAGACCTCAGGTCAAGCGGGCGGAGCTCGCACTGATCGCACGGCCCGGGCAAGGGGGAGTGTGAGAGCAGAGGAGCGGTGGAGGGAGCAAGGTGGAACCATGGCCCCCCTGTGCCCACCCAAGCGCCTGGGTGCAGAAGGAGCGAGAGAGGAACAGCAATGGAAGGTCAAATCGGCACAAGAGGCCCCCAAGACGGCCCAAGAGACCTCCAAGACGACCCTACAAAACCACAACAGTGCCCCAAGACGGCCCAGACAGGCCCCCAAGACGGCCTCCGAAAGCGCTCGACCGGCCAAGAGATCCATGAGAGGGCCCAAGGGGCCCCACACAGGCCCCCAAGAGGCCCCTCGTAGGTCCCCAAAGCCTCCAGGAAGCCGGCAGGAGGCCCCGCGAGGGCCCCAGATTCATCCTCCTCCTCCGCGTTCTCCCGAGGGTTTCTATCACGGCTGGTAGAACACGTAGGCCAATATCTTGGCCAGAGATTGGTCAAACGTTTCGCAAGATGGGCGCGTCTACTACAAGGTAGGGGGCGGTGGTTCGCCGCAAGCGTCTTCGATCCTCCGCCCCCGTACCATTCGGCTGAGTGTTTGGCCCTTGCGGTCTCGGCCGATGCCGCCGACCACCAGGGGAAGGACGGATACTCGCATCCAAGACGGTCAACATGGCCTGGGATATCCTCCAATACTGCCTCACGACGCTTCCAAGGCGGCCAAGAAGGCCCCGAGCGAACCCGAGATGCTCTCCGATACGACCCACGGAGGGCCCGAAGAGGCCAAAACCATATGCTCATTCGATGTTTGAAGGATTGCAGTCTCGCCCCCTGCGGGCTCCCCACGGTCTAAGAGAGCCGCACGGGGCTCCAAGATGGCTCCCAGACGGCCCAAGAGGGCCCCAAGACTTGACAGCAAGAGGCCACAGGAGACCCCCAAGAGGCCCCCGAGAGGCCACCAGGAGGCTCCCAAGAGGCCCCATGAGGCACCACAGGGCCCCCAAGAGGTCTTCACCCTTGTCCTCCCACTGTTCCTCCTCTTGCCTCTTCCGCCCCTGAGCGTTCCCCTAGGGGTTGGCACAACGGCTGGGGAACGACGTAGTCCAATAGCTTGGCCAGACGTTGGTCCAACATTTGGCCAGATGGGCGGTTCCAAAGTGGTCGGGAGCGGCGGTGATCTGCCGCGGGCGACTTCGACAGAGGGGGCAGGGAGCCAGTGGCCCAACCTGTTTTACACCCAGACGGGACCGACCGCCCCAAGGCCCCTTCGGTGGCAACTCATGGGAGCCTCCCATCCATCTTGTCAGCTCTTGGGAATCGACGCTAGTCGACGCTACATCGACGCTATTCGACGCTAGATAAACGCTAATCGACGCTCGCCGACGCTAAATCGGCGCTATCTCATCGACGCCCAGATGCTAATCGACGCTAGCCGACGCTGAAAACTAAATTTAAACGATATACCAGGCTCCCATGATTTTCTACCGAAGGCCCCCCACAGCCAGAGGTATGAGCCGAGGACAAGCGGCGGTAGTGCGACACACAGCAAAGCGAACCCCAACTTCCTAAGGCGCAATGGCCACGCCCCCTTTCGAAACGCCTATCCGCAAATTGGGGGGTGACAGAACGATACCGATGCCGCTGCTCCCCGGACCTCTCGTGGGATGCGGTCTGACAAAGATTTCAAGACTGACCCAACCGTGGCGACGAGGGTACCACCCAGGAAGCCCGAGATACCAGAAACAAGGGCGACGTGACGGTATTGGTAGACTTGCCCCCTTGTAAGCTAGGAGAGATTTCGGCACCACCAGGGCCTCATGTTTCCGGACTCCACTGAGGGCAACGTGGACGACCCCCTCCCCCCCCCCACGCAAAGGGTGTGTGCGAGGTAACTGGTCGACCACTTATGCAGCCCATCTCCGAGGATCGCCTCGAGCGAATTGCGGTACCGTCTTCGCGCTGCGGTGCGGAGCGCGGAATAATAGAAGACGAAGGCGTGCTCCCGGCCACGGCGGGCCTCGGCAAGGATTGGGTCCCCCGACCCAGACGCGAGGAACGGCCCGAAGACCGAAGCCCCACCTGAGCCCAGAATGACACCTGCGTCAGTGACTTGAACGTGCGGCAGGCTTACGCTGTCACGACTTGCGCGCTGGGTTCTGACACCGCGCGGATGCTGCAGTCTCGAACGATCGCAGCCTCCCGAGGCAGTGCAAATCGCTCGACGTCGGGCAGTTCCGAAACAACAGGCCAGAGCCGCCGAGGCAAAAATCAAGTTCGGTCGAGATAGCTTTTCCCAGGGCCCAAAATAATACACTTCGTGAGTCCAAGCACGGAAGGACCACTACTCTCAAGTCTCAGGCCTGTCCCTCTACAGGTGACATATTCTAAAATTAATTAAAATCGTGTGGAGACGATTTGTTGTTTTTGGACCATTTAGGGGGCATTCTTCTGGTATTGTTAATTTGTTGTCCGAAATCTCCCTGTAGGGGGACATGCCCGACCTGACACTACTCGCGCGTGCGAGGTCGCAGCCGAAGCGGGAACACCTTCCGACGCGCGGTCCACGTGTGCAGCTAGGGAGATTTCCAGAAGGCAGGGGCAGAACAACTGGCGACTGCCACTGCATCAGCAGCTTGCCCGTCACACGACGGAGATGTTTGCCGAGGAGGCGGCGGAGGCGGAGGAGGAGGAGGAGGAAGAGGAGGAGCAGGAGGAGGAAGAGGAGAAGGAACCGCAGGAGGACGAGGAGGTGGAGTGGCATGAAAAGCGGTACATGCGTCGGGCTCCCGAAACCCTGCATCCCAAAACAGGTCATCACTGGGGGGGGGCGCGTCTTTTGCTTCCGTCAGCTCCCGCGGGCCTTCAGCCAACTTCCGCCAGCAGAACCGCCCTAGGTCTACTTCCGCCGGCTTCCACCAGCCTTCCGCCGAGGAAGAGTCGTCAACCTCCCGATCCCTCGAAGGCAAGCCTATTTTTGGAGCGCCCCATAAGATGAGTAGGAGGAAATGGTCGCGAACCATGAGGAGCGTACCACACCGGGGCGATCCACTCGAGGTGGACTGCACCATGGATCGAGAAGGGCGGGCGGGGGCCTTGCAGCCGTCCAAGTGCGCGTCCTGCTGTCCAGCCTTGAAGTACTCCTTACACCAGTCGCACTGGCTCACCGCTGGGCAGCCGACGAAGTGCGCTGGGAACTCGTCCTTGTGGAACTTGCCCTTGCACCCGAAGCAGGTCTGGACCTTGACCCCTCCACGACGGAATCCGGCCGACCGCGGAGCCGCTTGCGGCCTGCACCTGCGCGGCCTAGTCACAGGTCCTGGTCGCGGGTGTCAAAGACATGGCGCCTCTGACGTGGCGGGTTCCGGAAGCCCTACACCAAAAAGACTGGCCATCTCTTGGGAGGGGAGATACGATGTTTGCTTCAGCCACGGCCTCCGCCAGCGGAGCCGCCCTCGCTTTGCCGCCGCCGCCTTGCGCCAAGGAAGAGATGCCAGCTCCGTCGATCCTCGAAGGCGGAGCCCTTTTCTGAAACGCCTCACATGGCAACCGTAAAACTTAAAACAGCTCGCCGCGAAAAGCCCCACCGCCAGCCACAGCGGCGAGCACAGAGCGGGCGCAGCCACGGAGAAAATCTCTGTACCGCCCATGTGGCGCGTCGTGGATTGCGCGATCCACGGGCTGAAGTACGCCATGGGTTGCGCCACAGGCTGCGCGATCCATGGGTGGCGCCATCCACGGATTGCGCCATGGACTGCGCCATGCTCCATGCGTGGGTTGCGCCATAGGTTGCGGGATCCATGGGCTGCGACAGAAAGTGCACCATGAGTTGCACGATCAATGGGTTGCGCTGTTGCGCCATTGGTTGCACCACCCGCGGGTTGCGCCATGGCTGGCGCCATCCGTGGGATGCGCCATGGTTTGCGCCATCCGTGGGTCGCACGCTCTGTGGGTTGCGCTGTGCGTGGATTACGCCACAGATTTTGGAGTATGTCGCGCCATCCGCGGGGTCCTCACCTCAGGTTGGGCATACTGCTGCCGATCGTAACAAGGCCTGCTATTGACTGTGTCATAGATTATGCACTCGGCGGCCGAGGCTTAAACGGCCTGCTACTGATTGCCTCATACGTGGCGCACACGGCGAATAAAACGGCATGATATGGGTTACAACGTTAACTGCGTACTCGGAAGCGGAAAGCAAAACGGACTGCTATGGGATGCGCAGCACTCGGCGGCCAAGAATAAGACGGCCTGCGATTTGTTGCGCCATTGGTTGCGCACAGATCATGACAGGGCCTGGTATCGGTCACGCCATAAATTGCGCATCCGGCGGCCGATACGATTACGGCCTGCTGTTCTTTGCGCCAACGGTTGCGCACCCGGCCTGCTATTGGTTGCGACCGGCCCGCCAGTGAGCAAGCCAGTCAGTCAGTGCCATCCGCCTCGCGAAGAGCAAATTCGGCCTACGCCCGAGATCAGGCTGTCGAGCCGAATGGATCCCGCGGATATGCCCGACCGATCCTGCGACCGGCCATCTCAAGGTGGGCGATCACCCCATGCTCAAATGCATGTCCGGGGGGGCGGCCATCCAGAGACACGGCTAAGGCGCGGGCCGCCTTGCACTGAACGATGTGCGCTGCCATGTCCGTCGTGTGCCTTTTGCAGAACTTGCACTGCGTGTCTTCGGCTGCGGCGCAGAGCAGCCTCTGCCTCGGTGGACGCGCCGTTCGTTCTTTCGCAGAGGGCCTCGACTCCCGACGTCCTCGCCTCGTGATAAAATCACGCCGGGAATTTGTTGGCAGCTTTGCGGCCTCGGGGTGCCCTCGCCGGGCCCCGGCGAACCGTCAAACAAACCACGCGGGCATAAACAGGACAGGGTCTGGACTTCTGGGGGCCACGCGCTGGAAAACATAGCCCGGCGAGGAGACCAACAATCTTCGGGCGCGAAGGCCGCGAGGCCGAGTGCCGAAATGGGTGCGGGGCCGCCATGCGGACCCTGCCGCTGGGGCCTTCGGGCGAGTGCCCGATGGGGTCGCGGCACGTGCGAGGGGGTGCCCACGCGAGTGCAGGGCCGCCAGGCGGGCCCTGCCGCTGGAGCCTTCCGTGGAGCCCCCCACAGAGGGCCACGCAACGTGTGCGGGGGTATGCCGGAAGGGGCGCGGGGCCGCCGTGCGGAGCCTGCCGTGCAGGCCCGCCGTGGAGCTCCCACGGGGCCAGGGCGCGCGGGAGGGCTGTGCCGGAGTGGGTGCGGGGCCGACAGGCGGGCCCCGCCGCGACGGTGCCACGAAGCGTGCGGGGGGTGCTTCCGAGATGGGCGCGGGGCCGCGGTGCGGACGCAGCAGCTGTGGCCTTCGGCGGAGCTCCCCATGGGGTTGCGAGGCTAGTGAAGGGGTGTGCCGACGCGGGAGCGGGGCCGCCATGCGGTCGCAGCGGCTGGGGGCCTTCGGTGGAGCTCCCGGTAGGGGTACGAAGCGTGAGGGGTGTGTCAACATGGGCGCGGTGCCGCCATGCGAAAGCAGCCGTTGGGGCTTTCGGTGGGACTCCCAGTGGGGCCAGGGAGAGTGGGGGGTGTGCCGCAATGGATGCGGGGCCGCCATGTGAGCCCAAATTACGGGGCCACGAAGTGTGTGAGAGTTATGCGGGTAATGAAAATGATGAGGATGAGGATGAGCATGAGGATAAGGATGAGGATGCGGATGATGATGGTGATGATGATGATGAAGATGATGATGAAGATGATGATGATGATGTTGATGATGATGATGATGCTGATGACGATGACGATGATGATGATGATGATGATGATGATGATGATGATGATGATGATGATGATGATGATGATGATGATGATGATGATGATGACGATGGTGGTGGTGGTGATTGTGATGATTCTGATGACGACGATGACGATGATGGTGATGCTGATGGTGGTGATGATGATGACGATGATGATGACGACGATGAGGATGATGATATACTGACGATGGTGATGCGAATGATGGAAATGCTGGTGATGATGATAATGATGATGACGCCGAGGACATGCGGGGGGTGGCATCAGCAATGAGAGGAGCAACGGAGGAAGGTAAAGAGGATGGTGAGGTGGAGCACGGCGCTGCGGATTCAAAACGAGACCCAGCACCATCGGATGGTTGGGAACAGTACGTCGGACGCCTGGGAACACTCGCTGCGTGTGCCGATGGATCCTGCAACGACTTGCAGTACAGAGCTGCACGGCTGACAGGTTGGAAGACAAGACGCACAAGAAAAAGGCTGCTGCTAAACATGATTGCTGCGCATGATCTCCGCCAGTGCCCCCTTCTGGAGCAAGGGCGTCAGCTGCGAAACAGACTACCCCTGCGAATGACCCCACCGTGTGCAAGTGTAAGCACCGCTAGGCGGCAAGTGGGACGAATTCGGTGGACCTCCCTGTGGGGCTGCGGAACGTGTGAGACGTGTGCCGACGTGGGTGCAGCGGTGGCATGCGGCCCCTCCCACCAGAGCCGTCGGTGGAGCTCCCGATGGGGCGACGAAGCGCGTGGAGAGTGTGCCGAAATGGGTGCTGCGGTGGCCTTCGGACCCTCCCACTGGGGCCTTCGGTGTAGCTCCCGAGAGGGCAACGACACGCGCGAGACATCCACCGAAATTAGCACGGCGATGGCATGCGAATCTTGGCTCAAGTCGGGCCTGTCCCCGTACAGGGGGATTTCGGCGAAAAATCAAAAATACCCCAAAAATTTTTAAAACATAGTCCACAAATAGTCTGGGGACTACTTTTTGAGCATTGTTTGACCTTTTGGGAGTACTTTTGGGGTATGTTTTTTTATTTTTCGTCGAAAATCCCCCCGTGCAGGGGGACAGGCCCGAAGGAAATCTCTTGGCACGTGGGCATGCCGTTGCGCCTTCCAATGGGGGGGGCAGCGGAGCGTGCGCGCGAGAGACGGTACATCGACAAAATGTTGCACCACCTGGTGTTGTCAAGAAAGCAAGCCGATTTTGCAATGGATGTTCGATTTTGCAATGGATGCAATACTAAGATCAGGGGGAGGGGGGGAGGAGCAATGCAAAACAGCTGACAATGCGCGGCAAAAGTGGTGCAACACTTCGTCGACGTACGGGAGGAGTGCCGAAGGGGGCGCGCGGGGCGGCGGCGTGCGGACCCGTGCCTCTCGGGGACGTCGGCGGGGGGCCGCCCCCTCGTGGCCACGCGCAACACGGGCGACGCGGGTGCCAGAAAGGGGCGGTGGCGGCGGGCATTGTGTGGACCCGAGCATGTGGGCCTCACCTGGAGCTCCTGTGGGGCCACGAAGCGTGTGAGAGTTGCGAGGCTAGTGAAGGGGTGTGCCGACGCGGGAGCGGGGCCGCCATGCGGTCGCAGCGGCTGGGGGCCTTCGGTGGAGCTCCCGGTAGGGGTACGAAGCGTGAGGGGTGTGTCAACATGGGCGCGGCGCCGCCATGCGAAAGCAGCCGTTGGGGCTTTCGGTGGGACTCCCAGTGGGGCCAGGGAGAGTGGGGGGTGTGCCGCAATGGATGCGGGGCCGCCATGTGAGCCCAAATTACGGGGCCACGAAGCGTGTGAGAGTTATCAGGGTAGTGAAAAGGATGAGGATGAGGATGAGCACGAGGGTAAGGATGAGGATGTGCGGATGAGGATGATAATGCTGCTGATGATGCTGATGCTGATGATGATGCTGATGATGATGATGGTGATGATGAGGATGAGGATGCTGATGCTGATGCTGATGATGATGATGATGATGATGGTGATAATGATGGTGATGATGGTGATGAGGATGAGGATGAGGATGATGATGATGGTGATGATGATGATGATGATGGTGATGATGATGATGATGATGGTGATGATGATGATGACGATGATGATGGTGATGATGATGATAATGATGATGATGATGATGATGATGATGATGATGATGATGATGATGATGATGATGATGATGATGATGATGATGATGATGATGGTGTACCGGAAATCGCATGGCGGTGGCATGCGACTTCCGGAACAGGCAAAAGCCCAAATAAGGACGCGCGGTAAGGACGCAGGACCCTTCGAAGCCGAAGTTGATATTTCTGGGGCGGCGGGCGACGAAAACTCTTAGGACGCAAGAGCAAGGAAGAGCAAGGACGCAAGGGCACCCTGAGCAAAGTCGCGCGTCCTTATTAGGGTTTTTGACTGTAGCATGTGGGCCTCACCTGGAGCTCCTATGGGGCAGCGGAACGTGTGAGAGGCGTACCGGAAATTGCGTGGCGGTGGCATGCGACTTTGGGTGGAGCCTCCCTGTGTGGCAGCGATGCGCGTGAGGGGTGTGTCGAACTCTGTGCGGCGGTGGCATGCGGACTCTCCCACTGGGACATTCGGTGGAGCACCTTAGGGTGTGTCCTAATGGGTGCAGCGGTGGCATGCAGAGTATGGCATTTGGGCATTTGGTGGAGCTCCCGAAACGTATGAGGGGTGTGCCGAAATGAGCTGGTACTTGAGCCTTCGGTGGAGCTCCCTATGGGGATACGAAGCGTTGGACAGGTGTGCCGAAATGGGCGCGGCGGTGGCATACGAACCCTAGCATCTGGACCTTAGTTGGAACTTCCTGTGTGGCCGCGAAACTTGTGAGGGGCGTGCCGAAACGAGCATGCGGAGGGCAACAACAAAGATGATAGGAGGTGGGAGGGCAACGGAGGGAAAGAGACGTGGGGCGCTGTCTCTTCAAGACGGGGGCCTGACACCACAGGATGGCGTTGGAAGTCATAAATGTTGCGATGGACGTCCCTGCGAATCAACAGCACAAAGTCACGGCTATTCGAATGGTCGCAGCGACCATTGGAGAAGTTGAGATTCCTTGTAGTACGCACCAGTTCCGCCCCTGATTTCGGGCGGGTTGGCGCCTCCCCCACACCCTTTCCCACTCAACATTGGTGCCTTGACTAGCGGCGCGCACAAGGGGGAGGGAGTCTTCTTAGAAGGGCCTCGAGGCGTCTAAGGCGGCGCCTTACAAACCAAGGCGTCTAAGGCGGCGTCTTAGACTCCCGAGGCGGCGTCTAAGGCCTTGGGAGTCTTCTTAGAAGGGCCTTGAGAAACCAGGAGGGCTTCGGAGAAGCCAGTCACTTTCTCAGGATCCCTCCGAAATCTTGGAAGGCCGCCTCCCCTGCGCCAGCCCCTCCTGCCCCTTTTGCCTTTCGAGCGCATGCCGCCACCACTTCGCCGGCGCGGGCTCCCTTGGGCAGACACAGGGGAGCTTTGAACAAACGATATGCGCTGTTATGTTGCTCCCGTCGTACTTGCAGACTACATCCCAGAAATAATCTTGAGCACCCGGAAAAGTGTCGAAGGAGTGGCGACACAGTGTCGGACGAGTGTCTCCCAGGGCCCGACACGTGAAGACCCTGGAGTTTTTGAGTATACTTGAAACTAGGTCGGAGCATCCTAGATCTACGGCGGAGCCCAGCGGTCCGACAGCGACTCGGCACCCCATCGCAGCCCGCCCGTGGGACTCCCCACGGCGCGAGCTGTGCGGGCAGTGTGCAGGAGGAGGAAAAACACACAGACACAATGAATCGTCGATTCCCCAGAACATATGGGAAAATAGGGGCAGTGGGGGGGAAGACAGAAACCCCGAAAATATGGGAAGATATGGGGGATATATTTATTTGTGTGTATTTATTTGTGTGTCCTGGAGCCCCTCCTCCTCCGCCGGGCGGCAGGGCGCGGGGCCCGCGCGAGAGCCGGGGGGCGCGCACCGGACAGCCCCGCGGGGCCGCGGTGGACAGGAGGCGCCCGGGGCACCCCGTGCGCTCCTGTGGACTCGACTCGGGCACCCCCCACGGCCAGGGGGGGGAGGAGGAGCAGGAGGAGGAGGAGGAGGAGGAAGAGGAGGAGGAGGAGGAGGAGCAGAAGGAGGAGAAGGAGGAGAAGGAGGAAGAGGAGGAGGAGGAGAAGCAGACGAAGAGAAGAGGGGGGGGCCCATGGGGGCCTGGGATAAACGTCAAGACGACGTCGTATTGACGATTACTCGGCGGCCCTAGGCGCGGGACGGGTCAGGGGCCAGGGGCGGGCCGGGGGGCCCGGGGTGAGGGGCACGGGAGGGGGCAATGAACCAGGCAGGGCGGGCCGAGGCAGCGGGCCAGGGGAGAGGGTGAGGAGCGGGAGGGGCGGGGCGGCACGCCAGGGGCGAGTAGGCTGGGCCAAGGTTGCGCGGCCCCGGCGTCAGGGCGAAAGTTGCAAAGGGCAGAGGGGAGGGCCGCGCCCGGGAACGCTCTGCACGCAGGGCTGTCCAGCGGGGCCCCAGCTATCTTGAGCACGCTGGGTCAGGTGCCGCGACGAGCATGCCCTGGAGGGCTGCCGTGCGGGGCCAGCCGTCCTGAGTGCATTATTCGGGTCGGGGATGGAGGGAGGAAGTCCCCCTCCTCCTCGTCCTCCAATGCAGCCAGCCAGCCTCCTAGCCCCAGAGGAGGGGAAGACGGAGAGGGGGGGGAGGAGGCGGAGGATCGAGGTAGGGAGGAGCAAGAGGGGGGGAGGGGGGAGAAGGAGAGGAGCATGAGGATGACCTACCTCCAGAGACGACCCCCGGTGACCGCAATGGACCCTGCACCCCTCGTCCGCGCGAGCCTCCGCCCCAGCGGCCCCCAGGCCTCGAATGAACGAGCGGCCACGCTCGGGAGCCCCCGTCCGGTCATCATTGATTCGAGGTTACCACACGGTCCGTCACCGCACCGTTTTGGGACCCTGGAGATGGCCCGAGACGTCCTCGGACAACGACCCCAGAGATCCGATGCCGTGATTTTTTCAATGCGAGGTCCCCGGAAGTCTCGACCCATGCCCCAGTGCCGGCTCTTCATCCCGAGTCGTTTCTTGACGGCCCCGGGGCCCGGCGAGGGCCGCTGGAGGCCGCAAATCGAGAAACACCTCCGCCCCGATGTTTGTCCATGCGCCGGAGCTCTGGGACCCGCGCCCCACCAACCGCGCGGCCACCTCGAATCACCACCGACCCACCACGCGGTGTGGCCGCCCCGCGCCGTCCGGGGGCACCCGCGGCCCGCGCGGCCCGCGCGGCCCCCCAGCCGCTGGGGCGCCCGCCGGCTGCGCTCCTCCATGCCGCCGCAGGCCGAGTCCGCCGGCCCCCCCCCCAAAGAGGCCCCTCGGCGCGCCCGACGCGGGGGGGGGCAGAAGTGCAGCCCCAGACAGGAGATCGCGCCGTGCCAAAAAGTCAGGGCAGCCAGCTTTTCCCCATTCTCGGCCCCCGGGGGCCCTCGCCGGGCCTCGGGGCCGTCAACAAAACGACGCAGGATGAAAAACCAGCCCAGGGGAAGGGGTCGGGGCTTCTGGGAACGCCGCCCAGCAAAAATCGGAACGTCGCATGTCTGGGGTAGGGGCCCGACCACAAGAAACCTTCCACAAGAAACCCAACCCTGAGGCCAAAGGACGGCCATCGATGTTTGGTGTGGGAACGTCACGCCCTCCACGGCAAAGCCATCGAGACCCGAGAAACCCGGGGCACCCTGGAGGCTAGCATGGTGTGTCTTGGTAGGGGCCTCCACTGTAGGGCCCTGAGATCATGCAGCCGGATGCGTTTCGCGCCAGGCGTCTTCGCCCAGACTCGGGACTCTAGAGCGCCGCTGGTGATTTCCCACGAATCTACGGCATGTGTTGCACGACGCTGGATCTCAGAAAGGTCGGCGCACACTTCCGCTGGCACCCATGCAAGCGAGGACGAAAACAGTGCAGCAGAATGGAGGCACACACACATGATACACGCAATTCGCCGGCCTAACGGGCCAAGGGCGCGCTAAAATCTCCGTTAACTGGTTAACAGTATTTCTAGTTCGCGCGCTCGGGGTCGCCCCTGGGGGTCCCCGGACGGAAAATACCCTGGCAAGGTCCCGGGCAGGTCCCCGCGAGGTCCCGGCCAGGCAGGCTCCCAAGAGCGCTCCAGGAGCGCTTCAAGTGGCCTCCAAGAGAGCTCAACATGGTCCGAGACGGTCCAAGAGCGACCTAAGATGCCAAAGATGGGCTCCATACAACCCAAAGCGCCTTCAAGACGCCCCAAGAGGCCTCCAAGAGACCTCCCATGAGGGCCCACAGAGGCAGAAAATCTCCCCTTTTCGGCTTACCGGTGCTCCAAGACGGCCCAAGAGGCTTCCAGGATCGCCCCAACACGGCCCAAGAGGCCTCCGAGAGCGCCCAAAACGGCCACAGAGGGCCCCAAGACAGCCCCAGAGGCCTCCAAGATGGCCGACGAGGCTCCCACGACGGCTCCAAGAGCGGGCCCAGACGGGGGACCCGAAGGGACACCCAAGAGGCGCCCAGGAAGCCCCCAAGAGGCCCTCAGGCGCTCCCTAGCGCGCCCAAGCGCTCCCAGGCGCCCCCAAGCGCTCCCAAGCACTCCGCCCTTTCCCTCCCCCTCCCCCTCTTTGAACCGATCCTTGACGATTTCATTCTTCTGGTGATTCGCTGCATCCATAGCCACTTGGCTGCAGGCCCTCATTGTGGGACCGCAGGAGTCCCGGGCCCGAGAGGCCCCGCCTTTCTCCCTCACTTCCAACTTCTATACAACTGAGCCCAATCCGGCCATCGCTCGGACGTCCATTCCCTGTGTTTTTTTCTGGTTTCGTGCGTGGCTTTTTCGCCAAATGATCAAGGATGCTCCTCGATGGTCCTCGCCGAAAGAAAAATGCACACGTCCGAGCGATGCCAAGCAAAACAAACTACTTCCTATCCCTCTCTCTCATATAACCGTGCTGGTGTGTGCGTATGTGTGCGTGTGCTGGTGGCGCTGACGGAGACCGAGCGCCACGAGGAAACCAAGAGCTGCCCGAGGTGCATCTTGAGGGACGAGGAAGTTTGCCCTGTGAAGCTTCGCTTCACACTCTCCCCCTCCCCCTCCCCCTCCCCTCCTCCCCCTCCCCCTCCCCCCCCCCAAGAGGCCACAAAAGGCCCCCAAGAGGCCCCAAAAGAGGCCAGCAAAAAATCCCAAGCAGGCCCACGAAG